TCGATATATATTCTAGAGAGTGGATAACTAGTGTATTTTGTTAACTTGATGTCTAAACTTTGATTACTTGACCTACTGTTTGGGTAAACCAGATACTGTAAGTTAATGAACAACAGTAGCATGTAATGAATTACCTTTTTGTGACTAATTATCTGACTTCACAATGTATAGTTCGACCTCTTTTCTTTACGTATTCCTGAAAATCTTTTTGGGATTAATATTGTTCACTCAGTAGATTGAGATGCTGGGCAGAACACCTTGGGGAACATTTCAACTGGCTGTTGCACACCACCTTTATGCATCCTGGATGGAAATTTGACACGAGTCCCCCATCTCTTAGTGAAGTTGAAAAAGCTCTAATCGATAGGTGTAAGGTTTTGATTAAATAACACAAGATGTTTAAGCATAGTGGTAAAGTTTTTGCAGTCGTACTAAGATTCCAGCTAGCATATGAAAACCGAACATAACCTTATCTGACTGGTCTCGACCACTTGCCGTCTCAGTCCATAAAAACAGGAATCCTCTTGTGTCAGTCACAAAGGGATTCGCTTGACTAATGTGGTGTCGAAAATACTAGCCTCAACAATACTTTGACGCCAAACTAGAGCTCATGTAGAGCAAACCCGAAGAAAACAGGCTGGTTCTAAACCTAAACGTAGATGTGCAGACCAAATATTCACCCTTCAGCAGGTTCTGGGACATACACATACTTCCCGATATCTGAATGTAGTTACATTCCCTGAGTCTTAGGCGTAGTTGAACTCTATTGATCGTGAAGCTCTGTGGCAGTATCCGTCGTTGAAAGATGTACCAGAGAAGTGGATTAACTCGAACACTACTAGTCGAGTTACATCTAATGACGAAGTGGCATCGAGACCAATTCCCTCAAGTGGCGCTAGTCAGTGTTCTCCTCCTCAATCTTAATTTAACATGTTAATAGGAATTCTTTGGGAGACAACGCTCCGACCGTTTAACTTGATTTGTCAGGAGATCCATTTGCTGATTTAGGATACGCATATGATGTAGTTCGGTTTGGTGAAGGTGCCGAGGGACCCAACCTTATGACCACGTTAAGCGGATAATGCAGACATATTCAAGATGGAATTCTCTCTCTTTCAATGCTTAATGTTATTTCATGATTGGCCTGTGCCATTTGAATTAACCATGGTGTTGACTGCTTCATTTGTCTTGAAAGTCTCAACAGCCCTGACAGTCTGATATCTGAGGAAGTCTGCCTAATTGCGTCACCTGTTGTGTAGGCGAGTAAATAAGAAAACCTGACATATACTACTTAGTTGTCCTTAAATACATTTTATTTCACTTCGATGCACGATAGGATTTATTTAAATGCACAGTGCAACCGAAGTTACTGCTAATAATATATAACATCGCCACAAGTTTTATCTAAGTATAAATAAGTAATGCAACAATACATAAGGTGTTGTATGTCAAACACAGTAACAAAGAGCGAGCTAAAATCGTGGTGAGAAATCCCCAAGATCTAATCCACTTGGTCGCTTAGAATTCTTTTGAATGTTGACCATAAAGTCTGAGTGCATATTGTTCCAATTCTGGAAGTGTCGTGACCAAGCTAAGTTGAAGTCTATCAGATAAAATGACCAGGCCGTTCTCTTGAACAATTCTCTGTTTTAATTAATGTGTGAAACACGCTTCTATCGTAATCAAGACGTTCAGATTCTGAACGTTAAGTTGAATCACGAACAGAAATGTGGCCAAATTTGGCATGCAATACATGTATAACTCAGACGCAATGTTGTAAGTATATGATGCTTCACTTAACATGACATTAATTTGCTTATCTGGTCAACATTTCCTTACTTCCTTAGGTAAAGGAGCGTTCTTTGGAAAACATCCTACGTGACCGCAAAGTCTACGAACCCTCCCGCTTTATGTCCTGCTGTGAAGCTGTACACCAAATAGTGGACGTCAGTAATAGTAAAGCAGATGATCAGCGGAGCAAAGGAAATACAGCTGTTATGACGTCCTGTATTGTGATTTGCTTATCCCGATTAGGATGTGATGACCAGAAAATCGTTGTTTCAACAATAAGTAATATCAATGAAGCCTACTTAAACCCAGGGGAAAAGGGTTTTGACTTTGGAAACCCCCCGCATAGTATAATCATACCTGGGTTAATACACGAGCTGGAATCAGAATTCTTGGTTGCTCGATACCGAGCCAATGTCGGGAGTCAAAAATTCCTGCCTGTATTTTACACTACACGAGGAAATATAGAGAATGTTCTCGAAGCTTATCGGGATGCAATAAACCTACACAACGAAATAGTTCGCACCATGCAGCCTACGCTAGATCACAATTAGTATTATATACCACTTATTTGATAAAAATGTCTTGTACTTTATCCTAACCGTTGCGTTCGCTATAAGGTACTGAACTTCTGTTATGTTTATTCTGCAGTGCGATAATCGAACAACCAAACCATCGAGCCCCTACTTATTCATGATTTGAAAAGCGTCACAGATCCGCACGTAATCAAAGCACAACTCGGCGGTCTCGCCTCAGTATGGACGCCGGTCACGTTAAAGATGCACGGTCGACGTTCCATAAATTAGTTTGTCGAACGAGATCGAGTAACTTCGCTTGTCACTAGGTATGTCATATATCCTTACAATTGTGACCGTAAGTATTTCCCCCGTGTAGTTCTTTCGAATAATCATTTGTCAACTTCCGCGAGTTTATAGAATACAAGCCACCCTATAATTAGCTTATAAAAACTTCGGGTTTAGATGTTTTGCATCCCGAAATATCTTTGAGTGAGCTTGAAAGATACTAAGAATAATGCTTGTTACAGCCTCATTACGAACCACCTGTGGAATATTACGTCCATTGATAGGGAATCGGAAAAGCAAATATGGAGGAAGTAGGTCGGTTTATACTACATCACTTACACACCAACAACGGAGAGCGGATACGCACTTTAAGACATGGGAAGAACACATGCTTTATTGAAGATAATATATTGAATATCAAATGTACAGAAGTTGGCGGGTTGATCACTTGTAAAAAATACCTGGAAAAACAACTGAAAAAGGCAACCTGTGGGATTTAGCTGGTTGAATTTGGTGTTTCCGCTACATTTTTTGTATTAGCGTTGACCAACTAGTGGAGTAGTATACAAGGACTGGGTTTAATCTTACTAACCTGCATTAGGATGTATCATTCTTGTTGGCGAGGTAAAGCAGCTAGAAATAATAAGCCGACAAGGTTGTGAAGTGACGTACATATGTTACGCGAACTGTCGAGATCGACAGAGGGATACTTGGTTACGAAATACTGAATAACTCAAGCAACACAGCTTACCAAGCAGCGAAATCTTAGTGATCACTGCAAGACGTTCAGCCACATGACTTGCGTAAAACTGCAACACACGATTTCCAAAATAAAAGTCCACCTTAAAAGGATTGATTATTCGCTTCGAAGTGTCGGGACTGCTCGAGGCGTCCTTACACCTAACAATGTTAACAACCTAGGATAATATGGACTGGCACTTTTCAAGTTTTCGATTGTTGTTCTCTCAAGGACATACAACTGCTTTTACATCAAACTATATTACTTGGTATTTGATTGCATTCCTTTGAATAATAGGGCTAGTATTACGTCATGAAATAACAACTAGACCAATTGACGCCGAATAAAGATTGTTTCACTGCCCGCTAACGGTATGTTACAACACTGAGTCAGAAACAATGAAGGTAGTGAAACACAAGCGACAGGACTCCGTAAATTCTCAGCTAGTAAATCCCTATAAGCAAACTGATCAAAGGCGAAGCATTGTAAATCAAATCCCAGGTGTGGAAAGACTGACTAGATTTAGGAATGCAATAAGTCCAAAGAGTGCACTTCGATAATCTTGAGTGCTGTTAGATAACGAGGCGGTTATCACTTCACGGTTCTCATACTGTTTAAAAGCTCCTCTACATGTACCTAAAAAGAAAATTGGGTTAGAGTTGGTTTTACTCACCCGACGGCGTGACCGCAGTACTCAGGGAACAACTTTATAAGGCCGGCTACACACAACCTCCGCACAAGTTGAGACCTTACCCCTGGAGACGGGAATCCATCAGATAAGGCGAGGTAAGCACATCCGCCCTCCGAGAAAAGCTAGCATCGGTTATTATGCTGGTTGTCTGAGGAAAACACCTTACTGCCGTCATATCACTTAGGAACAGTAGTCACTGACACTGACTTGCGACGATCGTGAAGACTACTTTCGTAACGAACGAGATACTATCTTGGTTAACACGACACAATAGACTGCTTAGACTCTCTTGCTTAGTAACCAATATTCAATACCAAAGCCTTTACTGTTTATTTTCTTAATGTCGGGAATTTTGGTACATTTCGAACAATCGTTATTTTACCCTAAATTTGACAGGTTGAACGTGTGAACTATTGCCTATGATAAGCTGTGTAGATCAGTTCACAAATAAAAACACGCTGACCTGCGAGCCTTGCTGTAGTTTGACTTCTCAATCTATGCGGCAACATGTCTTTACCCACATGACAATGAAATAAAACAATGCTACTTACCCCTATTCCCTATGACAAAAACCTACCTTCAAGCATCAAGGTGTGGATGCACTGGGCTTTATGATCCATCTGAACTACGTGAAGTACTCGTGTAATGTGCGATATACTGTGCTGACCTTTAAGTATCTGGATATTTTCCTATATTTAATCGTAAAAGCACCGCTCACCTTTCTATCCAAAACAGAATTTTTTCACCGAGGAACCAGTGTACATCGGCGATCACATTATACTGGGCTGTTTAAAATAATGACCTACCAGATATATTTCATTAGTTTGACTTACATTGTTTCCAGCACACTTTAAAAGAAAACAAGAAACGCAAAGTAAGTTTGTTTACGATTAACATAGTTAAAGTTAAATGTACAACACATGATCAGTTAAAGTTCAGATCACAAGCTTTGGATAAACGTACGAACGACTGACTTGCGTTAGAACCGTAACTGTGGCATTCCAGCCCAGGGTGTAAGTTGACCTGGAGCAGGCGCGATTTGAGGTTGCATCGTCGGCAAGCCGAAAGCTGTAAGTCAGAAGAAAACACGGTAGTTTTAAGACTGGTTAAAATTAATAGTGAATTTCAGGTCGTAGTGAGTTTATGCTCATTATGAGAATTATCAAGAAACTGAGTACTTTGAAATTTTAAACAGAAATTACGTGAATACAAGACATATCTACATGTAATTGTCGTGAATTATACATTTTATCAACAATGGGATGAAACTTATGCGAAATCTAAGAGTAGATAACGTAATCGACGAGACTGGGCATCGAGAGTATGATTTGAGAAAGTATAATCTAGTTAAGTTCCCGAAGACTGTCGTAACTAAAAACCTGAGGTAATACAGAGATGCTTTTTTGCCTGTTTTTAAGCCATGCCTGTAACCGTTGATTGCGCTATTCATGCCCATTCCAAATATGAACTCTGCACTTGTCTACCTGATTTAAATTGTCAGTCTTAATGGACTAATGTCCCGTTTTCAAGGATAGTGATACTACGTAAGTTTATGTGGGGATTAAATCGTATTGCACGGAAGACAATAGTCAAGTTTTACCTCGATATGAAGTAGTGATGCGTCTCCTTTTGTCATGTGAGACGGAATCCATGTAGGTGAATCAATATTTTACACAAGGAAAAATTTCCGACTTCCACTGGGGGAACTAATCTCAAAGACAATTAAAACCAATGAACGATGCCATAAAATTAACCATAACTGCATTTAGTCAACCCTCTTATCACTCAAATTCGCTGTTATGGTGAAGTTAAAAAGTGTGGAACGGGTTGATAGTTTCAGCCGGTAGATAGAATTATACTAATAATTCCACTGACATTGATGTAAAATGACTTCGATATTACACGAAGGCTCATAAATTAGGTCTTGTCAATGTAAGGGTAATCAATGAAATTTGTGGTATGCTCACAGGTTCGAATCCTCATATTTTAAAAGACACTCACATTAATTAACGATTTACAAATCTTTGAAAAAGAGCCACTAGTTACATTTTAATACGACACGAATGTTGTGCATCAATGTTAAGAAAAACTACACCAAAAATACTTTATGCACACCACCTACCAGGCGGAGGGATAAATCCAGGTGCGTAAGCAAACGGCATCTGGACGGAGGCTGTAGGCACAATCGGAGGATACACAATCTGTGTGGGCTGTGGAGGTATGAAACTTGGAGTCGTTAGTCCCAGAGTTATAGGAATAGGAGGAGGTATAATCTTTTTTGCTGCATTCTCAACAATAGTTTTGTATCGCGGCAACTCAGCTCTTAATTCCTCCTGAGTTCATTAGATGAAGTAAAAAAAAATCAAACTCACTAGGGACAAGTCTTCATCGGGATGAATTAACTCGATGATTACTCCATTAACTCCAGACGTGGGCTTCGGGACTTTGGACACGTTGGCTTTCACGTTAGACGATGGAGATGAATAGGCAGGAAAAGTAGCCTTCGGAGTAGTTGTAGGGGACTGTACAATAAAACTCAAAGTGAACTTACCTTCTCGTCATTTGGAGTAGCTGGCTGAGGAGGAGCGGGAGCTGCAGGAGGAGGAGGAGGCGGTGGTGGTGGTACATAGTGTACTGAACTACACAAATCATCCAGGGTTAACAAAACTTACTTCAAATGTGGAGGTAGGGTGTGAACTAGATACTCGGAATTAGAATCAATTTTAACTTACGTCCAATATGTCCGAAAGGTGCTATAGGTGGACACAATGTCTGCATGAAAGGCAGTGCAGGGTGGATAGGCGGTGGTGGGTAAAACGGGGCACTTTCATCTTCTTTGGCTATTTTCTCTGGTGGTTCGTCTTCACCTTCTAACCCAAATTTCTGTCTTTCATGTTCGATCATATCTACTTCCGGAATACCGGACATGCCGTATATATCAATGACAGTGCTTGTTCTGTTTGGCAAGGCATTAGGAATCTTATCCAGCTTCTCTTTGTGAACCTGATGTTTTGAATATTGACGAATGTCTTGACTTACTTGGTTGCAATGAATCGACAAACCAGGACCGGTGAACAGTTTTCTGTGACAATAAGGACATTTGAAGTGTTTTGCCTTTTGATGTTGGATTAGAATCTTCTCGTCGTCAAACTCCCGATTGCAATACCTAGGGATTATCAGTATTTCGAATCTCACATACCAACACCATGGCTTCAGTTGCTTCCTCTTCTTGCGACCCATTTCCTACGCAACAACCGTAACGAAATACCCGCCCCGAAACCGGAAATGCAGGCTACGTAACTGTCTTCAATTGACAATTCTCAGTCTTCAGTAGTAGGGATAGGATGTTTATCGACTTATAATAACCCTTGCAGTTTGTTACATCGTAGTGGTCCAGTCTCGTGTTGAATATATTGACGTAAGGTGATGATATTACGTGTTCTGGTGGCTAATTCATTGCTCAGTGGGAAAAGCGGAAATTCAGACGTAGACGATCTGATCTCGGTTTTTGTACCTTCTTAGAGTATCCTTTCTAACTATCAGTCCTAGATGAAGGGAAAAGATCGGGAATATTAATACGAAGGTCATCGTTCGGTATATGATAATCCAATATTAGGCCACTCCGGTAGAAGTTTGTCTTCATTAGCTGATCCGCGTCGGGTAGAAAGAGGTATCTACCTCAGAACAATGGAAGATGGTCGTGCGATTTCGTGGATTGGCTGAGTTTAGACATTAACACCGTTAGATGCCGGCTCAGTGGTTTAGATGTCAAGGGTTCGCGCGCGGGACCCAGCGCCCTGGTTTCCAAACCCAAGAGCGGGATCGTGGATGCACATTGTTGATGAGTCTCACAACAGGACGAAACAGCCTTCCGCTACTTCAGGGTTCTCAATGGTGGTCTAACATCGATTGGTTCATGATCTCGATCAAAATTCATGAGATAGACCAGAGCGATGTCCTTGCGTTTTCATACCTCGTTGTTGGATTCGTTCCAACATATCCATCTCATACTTGAATAAGATTAGCCAAAAACGAATCCCAGCGCACAACAGACTTGGTATCTATTCGGTCGTCGAACCGTTCATGGGTATCTCCTTTGTACATGGTCCCTGAAAAGGACAACAAGGATTGTCGTCCAACTCGCTATTAACAGCGACTTAGTACGAAAACCACTTTGGATTGACACCTCGCCACACATCCACTACCTGATAGTCACCTTTAACTATACAACCTCAAGTAGGGTTGTTTTAAAAATGAAATCAATGAAAATAGATGTCGGGAAACTCGTGAAAATATTGCACCGAGTTAATAATTACGCCTACGAGACAATTCTTCACTGTGGATTTGTAGGATTATGGTCTAGTTCGGTACATCCGTCTTTGCCACTATAATAACAGACCTGATCACAAAACTGTAGATTCGTCATGATGTGACTACCTCATCTATAATATCTTATATGGAAGTCGCATAGCTGTCTACACCGTCTCGTCGTATCGTGACAATCAGCAAAATGATGTATAGCATTTCTGAGGGACACATTTAGGCTGGAAATAAAATAATCTATTCGACGTGATTAAAGATTACTAACACAGAATGATCACGCCTGCAAAACTGAGCTATACCATTCCGAACAACTGTTCTTGCGTCCACCATTTTTGACTCATAAGTGTTATATGTTGAACGTAAATCTCGGTAATTATATACTCAGCTTCAAAGATCGTGTGGTTAGAAATCAACACCTCTACAAGTTTGCCGTTTTTATACTCTGTTCCAAAACGGCAACGCATCCAGATTGTGATCTTGGCAAACGCACATCAGATCCAAACTCGGCATTCGTGTATAAGAATTATGGTTCTGTTTAGTATTTATAGAATGCAACTGTTTATTAAGTTTATGGTTGTTACAAAGTAGATATTAAAGGACACTTGATATAAGTTGGGATTCTGAAGAATGCGTATGCTAGGTTTGCTTCAGGCGTAAGAAGAAGATCCATGGCTCTGCACTGCAAACGTGGTGCTGAAAAAAGGAAAAACCAAGAATCAGCAAGGCATTTGTATAAAAACCCCAGACAATGCATAACAGCTTGTAGTGGAACAGACAAAAGTGGAATAAATTAGTAGATAAAACTCATACCAGCTGCCATTATTCCAGTGAATTGGATTCAACAAATCTTTGGACAAGAGGATATAGAAATAACGAACAATGAGTGTGGTGTATATCAAGGTAGAATGGGTTTTAATAATGAAGGAAAAGTTGAAGTTAGGTTAAGGAAGATTTTTTATTAGAATGGCAAATACATAAAAAGACAGTAAAATGTTAGGAACCGCTAAAAACTATATCTTTCAGTATATGCTCCTTTACTTCATTGTTCTGATTTTTTCATCTAGTGGCAGCCAAAAGGTCATATGTCAAAGTCTGAGTTATAGGACGACTTAGTAGTATAGAAAATTCAACGTAAAACTGGAAACATGCTTCCGAGTAGCGAGATTAGAGGAACAACCTAGGTATCACCAACTAGTTGTCTTGTTCCCAATCGAAAAACACCTAAAATAAACAAAATGTTCTGTCCCACAAACATAAGTGGATCTTAATCATCGTCCTCACCATCAATGCCTGAATCTAATCCATTTGGAATATAATGGGATAGGTCTATCCAAGATACGTCGCGGATTACACCTGAAATGAGAGATTTTAACTGATCAACTATTAATGTGTTAACCGTAAGACCTGGTAGATGCATAGCATTCGGAAGCTTAGTCTTTAAATATGAACCTGGATCAGGAATATTCAATCGCTTTAAATAGTTCCATTCAATATATCCATTCTGAGAGTAAAATGAATTGATGTATGTATCCTCAGCATAAGTATAACATTTTGGAACGAAGCCACTACGACCGGCAATCAGATTACCATACAATTGACCAGTACTGATAAGACTAGAGACAATACTATTAATTAAATTTTCAGGAACTTGAAGCTTTGAAGCAACTGAACTTAAAGTAACAGGACGGATAACACCTGTAAAATAACCTCGAATTTTCGCCTTAGTAGCATTAAGGAAAGTATCTGTAAAGTACTTCTCACCATATTTATGTACATGAAATAAAGTACTTTGATACTCTTGCATAATACTCGATAAGAATGTTGTAGGCAGATTAAAGATGACAGTTAGTTCACCAATACTAGTCTGGCCATGCTCTTCTAGTCGATCAAGTATTTCATGAGCTACGCGTCGAACATATGAACTGTTGACAACTTCACTGGGTATACTGATCAAACGACAAGGCGATTTGTTTTGTGCATCTAAGGTTATCAATTCAGTGACTCTTGATTCAATGATATCGAAATCCACATCAAGATTTGATGCTAGTTCTGTAAGTGTAATTCTACCAGAATGTGCTTCAACTTCATCTCGGATTTCCTTATCGAGCTCGTTCCGAGTTAAATATGATAGCCCATCAGTTGAGAAAACTGAAAGTGGTGACATTTTTTCATGTGGTTTAGGAATTCTTCTACTTGCTCTTTTGTAGGGTGTATTATACTGTGATTATCATCCTGTCCTGTACATCGGGTACATCTTACCCCTAAAAATAAGAATAATTTTTTTTATTCGACGGACAATTACCAGTTCGTATTGTACTTATTTCGGACTAAAGTCTTAAATAAATCTACAATTTATTATATACTCATAGTCTCTAATCCTAGTATTACCCAGATATTATATTTAATTTAACGAGCACTATGCTCACCCATCTTCAAATCATGGCCAATAACTCCAGTAAAGGAGAAATTTCACTAACTTGTAAGCCAAATAGAAGGTCGAAATCTGTATCCCTTATAACTGACGACTCAGTGCCTGACAATGTCGAACATTGAGCTACTGAACCATATGTGTATTGTACACAAATGTCTCTATCATCACCAGATTCTCCATGTCACAGCCCCTCTATCTCTACGTGCAGTATGCCAACGGTAAGACTGGTTGACATACAAGACACCATACCGACGTGCATCGAAAGCCCAGCACCGTCTACTAGACAGTATGTTCTACCAAGGCCTAAATTTAAAATTTTAGGAACTAAAGAGTCCAGTGGTCCATCTCATACACACCGAAATACTGATAGATATAGTAGTGACATCCGACAGCTACAAAACTCTCTATCCGAAGTTAACAGCAAATTTGAGCAACCAGCACCCCGCACTCATATATGGGGCCTCGACACAGACAGGAATCTTAAGCAACTCACTAAAGCCGAGTGCATTTTGGAGTTTGTGGTTGAAGAAGTGACGAAAAGGGTGATTTCCTCCTTCAATGCAGTTGTGTATAACCTCCCCGATCGCACACACCAATCTAAGTTAAGGGATATTTGCCTTAGAGCATGCGGTATGCCGAACGTTAACTTCAAAGTCATCCGCCTTAGAAAAAAGTCGGATAGATCAACTTGCCCCCTCCTGTTTATGTTTGGCTGTTGTAGCGATGCTAAGCAGTTTATTGATTCGAGCAAGAATATTAGCTCACTAATTCCATACAAGAATATAAGTCACTCCAGACCTTACGCCCTGTCAATGTCGTGTAAGAAGACTTGAAGCGAAAGAATTGAATGGAAGTGTTACAGTTAATAATCAGCCAGAGACAGTTTGCAACACAGCAAATAGTTTAAAACACACGAACAATAAGCATGACACCACTCCATATACGGCTGATCACTCTGTTAATCTAGATGAGTCTGCAGATCAGAAACCTTTGGATAAGATACGGACCCCAACTGACACCAAAAACCATAACGACATGACTAATCCCAGCTGTTTGCTCAGTAATGTACTAAAATGTGAGTCGTGTGACAACACACATCCAACTAAGCCTGTACACTTGGAAATTTGTCCTCCTAAAGATACTCCTGTAATGTTTCGAATTATTTGAATTATAGCACGAACTAAGAGTCCAAGAAATAACGCAATTGAATAAAGAGGACACAAGCACAAACGAATGTACTGTATTTGGAATTCGAAATCGTGCAATCAACAAGTACAAAAGTATCATTAGTTCGTTCAAACACCACATCCGCCACAGCTTAAATTCGAGTATAGGTGCTTGTAATCAATCGTACGTCTTCTTCTCAGATTCATCCTCAGTCTGTCTGACATTGTATTGGAAAAGTATTCTGTATCATCTAGAATGTGCTCATAAGCATTAGAATTAACAACGGAAATTGGAACAGACTCACCTGGTTCCTGAAATTGTATTTGATCAACATGTCGACTGTGTGTACT